GGTGCTGAATACCTCGCCAGGGAAAAGCTAGAAATCCTCAGGGACTGTCAGAGGGTTTTTCCTGCCGACTTGGCCCAGGGTGTTCTTGCTGCCATCTGTGGTTTCTGGGTTGTCTGTGAAGTTGCACAGCAGTTAACTGTGTAGTGATGGAAGCTGATTGTGATGTGTAGTTGATTGGTTGTGTGACCATGGACACTGGGTTCAGGGTGTGCGTCGGGTTATTGTCTCATCGAGTGTATTTTATCGTGTTGCAGCTTGGGTGTTACAGGAATATTGCGTCGGGTAGTTGTTGCATGGGTCTTGTTGTGTAATACAGCTTATATTGCTCAACCTACCTGTGTTGTAGTGTGCAGCTACTCTTCCTAACTCTGAGGGGGGGTCGGGCAGTAGATCAATGCTCAGGGAAATTAACTTACTTTAATGCCCCGAACCTGATTACTTGTGGGTCATAGAGGATTAACGACCCTCTGGATTAAGTAGTTAACTGGCATCCCCACGGGCGGTCCTTCAGCCAGGCACAGGGGGCAAACAAGAGGGCATGGGGTGTGCAACCCAGAAGCAAGGCTAGCAAGGCCAGAGACTAGAAGAGAAGTGAGGCAGGGCCAGGGAACCCATAGGTGAGGGAAAGGCCAGAAGTGTAAGGTCTGGCTCAAGTGGGGATCAGGTTCAGGAGGAGGCTGCCCAGGGATAAGCAAGACAGAACGAAGCACCAAGGGCTTGCTCTGGTTTCTGAAGGCAGCTTCCCATACCTGGCACTAAGGTATGGCAGACGAATATAGGCCAGTGGCTTGAGAGACCTGTGGGGAAAGACAGGGATTGGAGTGCCCTTTTTAGGAGCACAGCTGTCCTCCGGAGGCAGATCCTATCCTATCACAAGGTCCACAAGCTCTTTCGTCTTCTCTTCTGTACACTCCCTTTTCTTATACTGCACCGAATATTTTCCTTAATACTGTTTTTATACTTACAGCCTTTTCCTTTGTCTAATGTTTGGTGTCATTTTATTTTCCTATGTTGTCTGATGCTCAAATAATTAATAATTGAGCAGCCCATCTATAGATATATTAAAAGCTATGGCACATATTGGGGAAAATTATGGTTTTAGGCTGTGTCAGAAAGGTCCCATACTAAAATGATTTTTAATGTTTCGCCATTCAGTGGGGAGCTTGAGTTTGTCACTGCCTTCAGCACCATTCCAAACCTTCATAAAAGTCAGGATTACTCTGGGTAACAGCTCCAGAGAGAAAGGAAACAAGGTCAGGCGGCTCATTAGGATGTCAGGCCAGGTTTACATACATGTTTCATACCCCTGTAACTGTTTCAATTAGGGATGTGACCTGGTTAATATAGTGAGACCAATACACTCACTAGTATATGGGGTTATGGACACAATTTTACTTGTATAATGGCTATCATGGTAGTTTTTGCGCTTCCCATATGGAAGCTCTGGAGTGTGGCTCCTTGATAGGGGTCAAAAGGTTCCCTGGGAAGAGGGGCATGACAAAGGGTGAGGGGAAGCAGTGGCAGAGGAAACCAGCAACAAGGGAAACTGGCTGCAGCAGCAGCTGAAGTAGGGGGATGACTAGCTGATTTATTGCAGTGGGGTATAAACTGAATTGAGGCCTGAACCCTGCTTCAGTGACTTCCAGCCTGTTAACGACTGCATCAACTACACTTGCAGCTGGTGGGGAATAAATTAGGCCATGTCCAGACTGCAAGATTTTGCCAAAAAGTTCCAGGTAGTGCAGGTGTGCCAACCCCACAGCCCAGAAACTGGCACAATAAACAAGGAAGAGTTCCAACTTTTGTACAAAAACAAATCACAGGGGTTAAGGTTACAAGTCAACAAGCCAAAGGGAGGGAACAGGTAAGAAATGAAGAAACATCAATAATTGTGATAGCATACCATCAGTACCTTAATTTCCACCCCCCACACCTCTCTGGAGATGTGCCCAAACGAGCTTTTAGTACCAGAGTGCTCACACAGCAGCCTGTAGCTGTCCCCAAGTCTAAGACTGGCTTTCTCAGAACCACGCAGTCCTGGCTGACCAAGCCAGTGGGATCTCCAGCTCCACTGTACAACCCTCTTGTGTAGGACTCGCTAGAGTTCATGTGCAGGCTGCCCTTTCTTCTTTACTCCAGCCCCATGATTCATTTTCCACTTTTCCCCCTGCCCCAAACCTGCAGGTTGAGAGTTGAGTTTCTGCGAGTTTAGTCCAAATGAGCAGTCATCATAGCTCTGCAGACAGCTGTGATGGAAACCCTGGTTCCATCTGATGTTATACCCGTGGTGGGCAAAATACAGCCCATGGGCCAGATCCGGTCTGCAAGGCCATTCTATCCAGCCCGCGGTGCCCCTAAAAAATTTAGAAAATGAATATTTCTCTGCCCTTGGCTCCTGTCAGTAATGACAGGAACCAAGGGTAGTAGGACCCAGGGGAAGCCCGGCAGGGCCCGCCCGGCCCCACCCTCCCCAGCCTGAAGCCCCAGCGGGGGCTTCTGGCCTGGGACCACCTGGCTGCCCTGCACCGGAACCGCAAGGGGGAGGGGAGAGGGAAGGGCAGGGAAGGAGCCCAGGGAAAAGCGGCTCAGGGAAAAGCAACCCTTCCCCCGCCCCATGGCCAGCACCCCCATGTTGCAGCCGCTCAGCCCACATGGAGCTGCCTGTGCCTGCTCTGGACAGCCCCGCAGGCTGCAAGCGGCTACAGCGCGGGGTGCCGGGCATGGGGCGGGGCAGCGGCTGCTTTCTCCTCCCCGCCCACGCTCAGCGCCAGCTTGTAACCCGGCCCCACTGTCAGCCTAGGCCGCGTGCGGCTCCGTGCTTGCCCCTCAGGGCTGCGTATGGAGACAGCAGCTGCGGCCCCCCCCCCGCTTGCTGTGCCGGGTAGTGTTTGCCACTGCCATCTGTGGGCTGCCCAGTGCGTGCTCTGGGCAGGCAGCAGCCGCCAGGCGAGCCTGGAGCCAGCGCGGACCCAAGCTGGCAGCAGGGGCGGGTTACAAGCTGGTGCTGAGCGCAGGGAAAAGCAGCACCTCACTCACCCCATGGCCGGCACCCCGTGCTGTAACCGCTTGCAGCCCACAGGGCTGACTACCTGCTCAGGACAGTCCTGCATGGGCTGCGAGCAGGTGCAGCAGGGAGCGCTGGCCATGGGGTGGGCGAGGGGCCGCTTTTCCCCGCGCTCAGCACCAGGTTTCCTGTCAGCGAGCAGGGGGCTGGGGCTGTGCGCTGCCTCCTGCCTGTACTGCAGGGTTGGGGGGCACTGCGAGTGAGTGAGCAGGGAGCAAGCAGGAGCACGGGGCCCACACTGGTGTTCCAGGGCCAGCACTGGTGGGGCCCAGAGCAGGGTGGAGGAGCATGAGGTCCCAGCCGGCAGGGGCTCTCTGGATCCAGGCCAGCTCCCCCTCTCCCTGCTGGTGCAGCCCAGCCCGGCTCCACAGACCCCTGCCAGCCTGTGCCCTGCTTTGGGCCCCAGTGGTGCTGGCCCTGGGACATGGGACCATGTCTTGGGACCAAAGACATTGGGACCAAGATGGTAAGCTGGGGGTGGGGCACATGTCAAGGGGCAGGGCTACCAACACAGCCCTCCACAGCCTGCCAAAACTGGGTAAGTGGACCTCTGCCCAAAATAGTAGCCTGCCCCTGTGTTATACCCATTACTCGTTACACACGCTTATCTTATTTGATAGCTTACATGCCAGAAGCCATTGCATGGTTGTCTATCTTAGAACTTTTTCTGACAGTGGTGTGTCTGCAGATGAACCATAATGACCATCAAGAGGAATTTTATGGTAAAATTCACCAGTTTAGTCATTTTCTGCTAATCTGTCTGTCAGAAATGTAATAGGCCCATCAGCATTGTGCATCACAGCAATTGTCATAGCCCCCATTTGTGAACATGATGACCTTTGTTTTCCGGTTCAGTCTTTACTTGAGGCTTTCAGTTAAAATACACAAGCTGAGCACAGGAGGCAAGTAGCCCTGTAACTGGAGCTGGAAGAGCCAACTCATACTGTGAGTGGCTCTTAGTATGCTTTAAATTCCCACTGGCTTAATTCAGATTGCTAAATTACACGGAAATTATTTTCACAACTCTTTGATTTAGTTTAATGCTCTCATACTACTTTTTCTCCTGTCATCTGTACTGGATTAAAATATAGCTCAGGTGATATTTAACTTGAAGGTTTTTAAGACCCCAGGTAGACAAAGCCTTGGCTGGGATGATATAGCTGCAGATGATCCTGCTTTGAGCAGGGGATTGGACAAAATGACCTCCTGAGGTCCCTTCTAACCCTAATTTTCTACGATTCTACAAGTAAGGCTTTAAATAATTTGTCCATTATTATTTCTTTTGATTTTTTTAAGGTAATGGAAGGGGAAATTTTTATTTTGTTTTCCAAATTTAGAACTTGAAAAAAGTACCCATATTTAACACCTAGAAGCTCAGTATGGAAGTACAACAGCTCTACTAAAATTATCAGGGTTATTCACCATTGGCATATAAGTATGTATAGGTCTGTGTATAAGTTAAGCACCCCATTTTAAGCTGCACAGTTGAAAGATGCAAATTCAATGTAATAAAACATGCCTTAATTTCACTATTTGCAACCGTCTCCTATTCTTATGTTCAGATTATTTTACATTTGCCTTTTCCTGTACAGCACTATAAAATTTAAGATTACCAAACTGCTCTCATATTAGCAAAGAGAAAACATTTATAGTCACTGCACCATATTCCTGAACAATTATAGTTTCTAGTGGAAGAGACCCAAGGACAAGAGAAGTAGGGAAGGGAAGAAAAATATTTTTAAAAATAAAATTGAGTGAAAACATGAAATTGAGTGGAGACCACTGTATTTCAGGACTGTCCTTTCTTCTTTCCTTGTCCACCCCCTGGGCTAAGTTCATGTATAAGCATATGCTTGCATATAAATTGCTGCAGTGGCAACTAAAGCATCTTATTCATTATATAGAAACATAAAATACAAAAAGGCCAAACATCAGCAGCTCTTGTATTTAATTTAATGTTTTTCATATTAAAGTTGTGCAATGTATAGATGCAATTCAAACTTTTAAAAGTAAAGTCTGTACATTAATTAAACTCATGTGCATCTCTGAGCAAAACCCAGACAAAGTTTTGTTTAACCCCAGTTTTGATTACATCGACTCCTGAGAACCTGTCTTCTATTCCCTTTTAGATGGTTTGCATTAATAAATATCTTAAAAGAGGAATGGTATAAATGCTTTTCGATGTTTTGGATAGGAGCTGAATGTGGTCAGGTAGAACTCGTGGCACAAAATGGCAGCCAATGCCTGATTAAAGAGTACATACATCACTACAAGCCACCAAGTCAAGTTGTAGAATCCAAATGTGATGGCTAGGGAGACATATATTAGGAGTTCTGCAAAATAGTGTGGGCAGGAGACCCTCTCAAACCAGTCTCCAAAAGGAATACTGTGATTCAAACTTACAACGTTTCCTGCAATTAAATGGAGGGAAGAGTTAGTTGATATAATATAACATTTAAAGCTTATTTAATGTAACTCACAGTTTTGGAGTAATGACAAACACAGGCACTTCCCACAGAGTTCAGTGGGATTTGTGGGTGCTTACCACTTGGCCTTAAAACACTTTGCTCCCAGTGTTTGGGAAGACAGATTGAAAGAACTACATTGTAAGCACAGGAGCGGGCACTTTTTGTTTTGGATTCAGGAAGTTACTCAATGCCCTTGAGCTAGAAAACACTCTTTTGGGTTCAACATTCATAAATGAAGATAGTAAACATGCATCAGGGCACTGCAGCTTAGTTAAGGGTTCATAACACATTTTGAAAACATAAATATTTATTTCATTCTAGGAGGCTAGCTGTTAGAACTTTGTTTTAAACGTTGCATGCTGCAATTAACGGGGTATTACTGCCTAAAAATCCCTTCCACACTCCTGCACTGGAAAGTCTTATACGCATTACCTTCACTGTGTGCATGGAAACAGTGTTCATTGTGACATACATTTCTAATGGGAAAAGATAAAATGCATAAACAGCTTCCAGATGTGAAATATCTCACCTGATTTATTTTTTCTAAGATTAGCTAGAATCACATGACATCTATTGTGATGAACAGAAGCCCAAATGTACACAATAATTCCCAGGGTGTGATACCAACCGATTTGCATCCAAAGGCTTTTCCCTGAAAAATATATAGATAGATCCTTCATGAATACAAATTAGAAAAAGAAAATGCATTAACCTCCATACCACTACCTCAAAGCACTATACACTATACACACCTTTTCTTATTCCAAGAGCTTGTCCCAGGGCACTGTGTTCTCCTGAATGTCCTGATCTGTGCTTTTAAGCCTTGCTCATGCAGACTATGAACCATACCTCAAATATGGGATTGCTATTTGCCTTCACCTGCAATTACCAAGTTCTGCAAGTTATGCCAACTTTACTTCTGCAGTTGATTAGAAATAAGGGATGAAGCACATTACAAAGAAGGTAGTTAGGGCCTTCGTATTTTATTTGTAGTCTAACCAGTTTTCACAGCAACAGTATGTAGAAACAAGTGCATTCTTATTATAGCAAGAGACAGTGCCACAGCTCAAGTCAAGATACCATTATTGTTTTATTTACACTAGCAATAAAGGAAAACCACTAGATTAGGGACGATTCTGACAGGAAAACCACTAGATTAGGGATGATTCTGCAAAACAGTTTTCACTGTGAGTGGGGACTGGCACACAGCACTATCTCTGTGAAGTTCTAAGGCTAAAAGGCACAAAATAGGCCAAGCCAGAGCCACCTAAGAAAGCTCTGTCTCCAAAGACAATGCTTCCAGATTGCTGTCAAATTAAAAAAAAAAAAAAAAAAAAAAAAAAAATTAGTATGGAGAACAAAAGATACTTTACAGATCATCGTAACTGATATAAAAGGCCAAAAAGTTCTGCATCTAGTACAGTCTGCTTTGGAAGAGTTATCTATGGGGAAGGCATAGCTGAGTTTTTGAGCATTTTGGTCCAGGAGACACCTGCATGGCCAAGGAAATGGTAGCTCAGCTGTGGAAATTAGTGAGATGTGCTGGCAGAAACTGGTATTCAGGGCTCTGTAGTATTAGTGGAGGTTTAATTAGCCCAACTAGCAGATTGAAAGGACACAACCTGAAATGTGTAGCCATCTGGAAAGTACAAAGTGGATGGACAAAGAAGTTGGCCAACAGAGTCTGTCAGGTTCATGCTTAAAGGAGGTCCCTAGCAGAAAAAAAAAAAAAAACTTAGCTCACAGTAGCCATCTAGCCAGGGAAATACTCAGCTTTGCTGAACTAGCATCAACTGAGTGCTCTTTCGTAAGGCTGAAGCATGTCAGTGGCAAAATTGTGATACATAAGCCCTGAAAACCTATGGGACAAGGTAGCTAACAGGTAACAATGGCACCCAACTACAGTAAAAGTTCTGTTAATCGGCATTTTATAAGGTGGCGTGCTCTACTAACCGGCATGCTAGCTTGTAAGATAAAGTGAAACCAGAAGTGCCCACTGTGGGACTTCCGGTTTTTCCAAGTCCCCATGGCCCAGGGCAAAGCAACCTGCGCTGCCGTGCCCCCATGGCCCGGGGAGAGGTGGTGATACGGCAGGAGAGATGGCGATGCCGCAGGAGGGGCAGAGGGACGACCCAGGAGAAGCGGCGATCGGGGCAGCTGAATTAACTAGCATATTTTGTTATCTGGCATCCACCATTCCCAGGGGATGCCAGATAACAGAGCTTTTACTGTACATGGCAAAAAAAATACACGTAGACCAGAGATAAGTATAAAATATAGGAGTGGTCACTGATGGACTACATTAGGCATCAGTGACCTAATCAAATGACACATTCTAACTCCAATAAGACCTTTTATAGATTTCATATACCTTCTTCTCTCTTACGCAGGCTAGGTATGACTTTCCTCTCTAGGCAAAAGGTAACCTATTTGGCACATTATCAATTTTCCATGTATACAAATCCTGTGAAAGTACAAGCCAGTTTAAAAAAAGATAATGCAATTTCAATAGTTCTAAGGAGGTACTTACCATTCCTGACATTAACTGGTACTTGACATAGCACAGTTAATCCAATGCCAATATAGTAAGCATATCCAAAGCAGTAGTGCACAATATGAATGACGCCATTGGAGAACACACTGATGCAGAGGCACTCTGTGAGTCTTCGAAGACTGTGCAGCCAAAACAGGAGGAGAACCAAGAAGGCAGACAGGTATTCATAACCTATAATCAAGGAGAAATGAAAAGTCTCAAACTTGCTGTCTCTCTTCATAAATCTGAATACCTTTGAATTCCCTAGCTAGAATCTTTTAGCGTTTTTAGGCTCTAAATCCTTTAACATTTCTGTACTAGCAAATCTTACCTTATTCCCCAAGCCTGAGTTTTTCTTTTATTTAAAGTTTGGGAGAGCAAAGCAAACATCCTTAATTCTGCAGTTCTGCAAGTGGATTGGTGCACCTGCTGCTGTGCAGGCAGGCTCTGATCCCTTCAGAGTCCTTCCAAAAATCCAAACAATAAACCATAAGCAGACTTGGGTGCCTGTAGCACTGCCTCTGCTTTGTTGGGAGCCCCTCAACCAGTATTCATAACATAAAACAATAATCTTTATTCCAAAGAGAGTAAAGTAAACCTTTAGCCTTTTCCCAAGCAGCAGGAGAGGGTCCTTTCCCAGATGCAAGCTCCGCCGAACTTCAGTCTGCTTCCTATCAGAAAACTGCTCCTTCCCTTGGGCTTTTAACTGACAGCTGATCACCCACAGCTGGATTCATACCCCAGCTATCTGCCTCCCTTAAACAGCCAGACCACACTGTTTCAGTTTCCCAGATTTGTGACTGAAAAAAAGGTAGTCCAAGCAAACAAACGCTCCATCTGCTATATATAACCTCTAATGCTGGGCTCTGCAGTTTATTTGGTCCCACAGGCTGGATGTGGCTCCTTGGACAGCTGACCCACCCCAAGCAACGTGGCAGCAATGTCTTGTCAGTGTGGCTTATGGAGATCTGCTGTCATGACTCCAGAACACAAGGGGTGAACACTGCAATCACTCGTGCCCCCCTCCCCACCCTGGGTTGCCAAGTTGTACTAGCAAGCCCCAGGGGCCACAATTCAACCCACCAAAGGCTGCATTCAGCCTACGGACCACCACTTGGAAAGCCCTGATGTTATATATGGAGGGTCTGGTTACTGACTTATATCTGCAGCACCTGCTCACCCAAGGACTAACTTTTTCCTCTGATAAAAGCAAATCTTTGCCCTGCAGTGAGTGTATTTCCAGGGAAAGGGAGAAGATGCATGTGTATCAGGGCACATGCTGTTGACAGCAGCAAGAGAGCAAGACGACCTGAGTGAAAGCAAAAGAAACCATTACAAGTGATGTTTTGTTCATGACGTAAAAACAGTTTTACACTGAATTATAGCTAAACCACTTAGAACCTAGTTTATACAATATATAAAACCTCCAAAAAACACTCAGGGATGAGTAGCTGATACAGTCTCCAAAAGTAACAACATAGCAGGAAAGTAGAGAGGTTCTGCTTTCCAAGTACTATTAAGCATGTTTGGACTACTTGCCCTGGTTCTGTGAAGACCCACTGAGAATGCTGAGCAGATCCTGAAGCCAAACTGGGAAAGGCCTTTCCAGGAACAGAGCTTGAATAAGAAGGAGCAGCAAAAAGCCATTCCAGGTCACAGAAACCACATAGAAGTGAGTAAACCACCTGTGGAAAGAAGCAGCAGCAGCATTAGCAGGGTTCTTCATAACACTCCTTTCTTCAGTGCTGGAATTCAGTTCAAGGATCTCAGAGAAAAAGGTTCATTCTAATTTGACTCAGCCTCAACTGATCTAGGGTGCAAGTCCCAGTTTATGGAATTGGATCTATAAGTCCACTGTAACTTAACACAAAACTGTTTTCCTAGTTAAAGGTTTGCTTACAATAATAATAACAATATACAATCTCTCATCCCTGTTTATAGTTATCTCAGGTACCTGGAATAGAAGAGGACTGAGTGGGGATCATACAAAACTTGAGTATTACTCAAGGCTTAAGAAATAAATTACAGATCACTAAGTGACCACGTAATGCTGGTTTTTTAACCCAGACAACTAAAAGCCTGACAACAATAATTTTCATTGCACAGCTGTAGGCCTCACTGAAACATTGATCAATATATACTACTCACATAAAGGGTGTGCTAAAAAAATTGGCCTGCGTAGTCAGGACCAGCAAACCTGACCAATGGTATGAACTCCTTACGTAAGCATAACCTGGCATATGGGCCAGATGGGCACTCCTGCCAGAAGATGGGAGGAGGAGATAGCTATACAAGTTGTAGGATCTCCCAGTACCTACATGATCTGACTAGGACAGGAATGTCCAAGCCAAGATATTGAAAAAAGGCCAATGATACAGGACGATCTGAGATAGTCAAGATGCAGAAAGAATGCAATATGTAATTTCTTTTGACAACTGTATAAGAGGAGGGTTGGAAAGTATCTTCTCTTCTGGACATATGTCTAAGAAGAGGCTCCACCAGTTTGCAAGAGTCTTTTGTACAATCGCCTACAAGCCTTGTGTACTCCACTGTACAGTGCAGTGTTTGGTCTCTTTCCAAATACAGGAGTCTTTATATGTACTGCAGAAAATGGGAGAGACCTCTTAACAGGCATCAAGCCAAGACTGGATGCCTTTCTGGAAGATATACTTTAGTCAGTCACAAGTTACTGAGCTCAATAGAGAGGTAAATAGGATTTAACAGCCTATGTTATACAGATGCCTTCATAGTCCCTTTGCCCTTAAAAATCAATACTTCTAATAGCAAAAAAACAACATGTACTGCAGAAAATGGGAGAGACCTCTTAACAGGCATCAAGCCAAGACTGGATGCCTTTCTGGAAGATATACTTTAGTCAGTCACAAGTTACTGAGCTCAATAGAGAGGTAAATAGGATTTAACAGCCTATGTTATACAGATGCCTTCATAGTCCCTTTGCCCTTAAAAATCAATACTTCTAATAGCAAAAAAACAACAAAACCCCCAGACTCCTGGCAACATCTTCAAAAAGATATGTGTATAGGAAGTGCGTGCTCAGCTTCCTTTTAGGTCTACTCCCAGGATGACTATACCAGCAAAGCTCCAACAGTGCAGTCAAGTCAGATTTTACATAGCTTGAGAACATACTAGATCCTACAAGGACTGTGCAGGCTGTCATTCGCACTTCATAACTTCCATGTTTTTTTCTTAAATGAATGACTTTGGGAAGTCATGCAGGAAAGGGAAAGGACTTCATTCTACAGTGGCAAAATCTTGGTGTGATGTAGAACCTTCCTAGGAGTTATTAAATGAGACCTTGAAAGTAATGGGAGCAAATGAAGCAAGTTACTCCCAGACAGTTAAAGTGGGAATGTTTTGTCACATTGGCAAGTCTCAGATGGCAACATTAATGTCTCTGGATAGACAACAGGTCTTCTAGTTCAGATTCCATGCAAGAGTGCTGGGCAGACATCCAGTGTTGATACCATCTGGGAGCAGGGTATCAGCCACTGAGAATGCAAGTGAGAGCACACTGCAGGATGCTGATAATTCAATCAGCAACAATCAAACCTACTAGCAGGGAAGCTAAAAGCCTCAGTGTACAGACTGAAACCCTTTGTGCCAACCCTTGTTGGCAATCCTGACAGGTATAGGATTCATGTCCTTCTCAGTCTGGTCTCTGAGAAAACAAAACAGCTGCAAGGTATTTGCTGTGTAGCTTGTCATAATAAAATAGCACTTGAGCTTAACCAAATAGAATCCAAACTGCTATGCCTGTTCAGAAACGCAGCTCCTGCTTAACCCATCTTCAGGTCAAACTGAATTTTAATCAGCTCTGGGCAGCTGACTCTTTGGCCATATACAGGTGTTCTCCCAGTAGGGAGTACGGACACTTTTACACGTGCTCCAACATGTTCTGATTAGAATGCATCATAACAGACTGGATTAACAGAGTCTGCTGGAGCGCTCTAATTAGAGCGTGCTGCAGCGTCTGGTGCATTCAGCATCCCCAACCCTCAGAATAGCCGCAGGGGCTCCTTAACTAAAGCCTGTTCAAGCTTTAGTTAACGCGTCCTGCTGCCATTTTGAAATGTGGGACCCTGAATACACAAGATACTGCAGGCGTTTTAACCAGAGTGGCTCTTGGCAGCCTCCCTAATTAACCCCCCCCCCCAAAGCATGTGTTCAGACATCCCTTGAACATATAAGCATTAGTTTAATTTCTCCCAAAGGAAACGCATCCCCCGGGGAGAAAGATCTTCCAGGTTGACACCCGGGAAATCTCCCTTGCAAGTTTCTCTTCCCGGAATGAATGCCTGTATACATTAGTTAATTTTGGTGGACAACTAAAGAGAAGACAAGGAAGGGTGAGGGGACGCCGAGCAGAGTGCACTTGACTGTAGCTTAGTCAGGTCTCAGAGGCTTTATCACAACACTGGAATAAGTGCGAGTGGGCCCCCCAAGCCACATGGCAGCTGTCCTGCTAGGGGCCAAACAGTGCAGCAGCACCCCCAGGAACATAAAAACTGATAAATGCCCAGCAGGAAGTGCAATCTTCTGGATGAGGCAGTGGGCTGGGCAGCTGGTACACCAAGGCCTCATCGCTAGATGGCAGCTGGGTCTCTGCAGCATGCCACGATCCTGACGCTTTCAAGGAGAAACCCCTAGTCGCAGGTTTCACGTGGAGCCTCACAGTGCTCGGGGCCCTGCTGCAAGGCCGGGGCCAGGCAGCCCCCCCGAGGCCGGCAGCCGCCAGGAGCCTTTTCAGCTCTCGAGAGGCAACACAGGGACGTCCGGGGAAGGGAAGGGAAGGGAAGGCCCCGCTCCCCCACCCCTCGCCGGGGATGAGTCCGCACTGCAGGCCGGGCAGCGGGGGGGCCCTGCCGGCGCCGCTCACCTCTTGGGCACGGCGCCGAGGCGTAGCCAGGCCGGGCCCGGCTCGCAGCAGCTCCGGGTCT